TTGAAACAAGTTTACTTACACGTGGTTTGGGTGTACTAATTACTTCATTTTTGTGGCTCTAATTGATTTTCAGTTAAATTTGTTAAGAAATTCTGCTTTATTGTAGTTTTGTAATATATCAAAACATTTATGTAAATTTTGTAAAATTTGACGTTATTGTTAAAAGTAGTCTTTTGCCCTAGTTTTTTATCTATACTTACATAAATAAGTAAATTTTAAACTTCAGTATCTGAGAAAAATTAATATTACTTTAAGATATCTAACAGTAAGATAAGGCGTAACCGGAACTGGTTCAGAGAGGGAGTGCACATTTGAATAACTTCTCTTTAAAGAAACCGATTTCTCATCTCATTCAAATAAAATAATTAATGAAGTTCCCCGCAATATGTAAAATCGAATTATCAGGAGGGGATATCACCCCACATTTTCATGATAATATACAAATTAATAATAATTTATAAAGTTCCGCCCTTTATGTAGTATTATACGATATTCTATCAAAAAAAAAAATGTGCCGCACACAATTTGGAAATAATATACTAGCTCATACTTTCGTCAGGTGGGGTGGGAGTACTTATCAGAAGTTTTTATTACCCCATATAGTTTTTTATTATAAAATAATATAATATACAAATTATATCATATTCATATTCTAACAAAAAAAAAGAGCTGCATAGACTTTCTGAAAATAATACACTTGCTGCTTGTACTATTACCGTCGATCTATCAGATTAGGCTATTAGTCTAAAATTTTCTTATGAAATATTATACTAGTATTATGTATAAAAACTCTACAACGTTTGTTGGAGAGATGCGGTGCATGATCATGTCTACTGAATCATGTCCATGAATGTAAATACTGTAAAGTTGTGATTGTAATTTATTTATTTGAAAATTAACAGCATAATATATTCCATAGCACTGATTCACTGTTTTCACTAGTGAAAATATTCTCAATACAAATAAAGAATTTATTTCAACTAATTAATAGGTAATTTTTTTTTACCATATAGATTTGTTATATACAATAATAATTTCTGAAATGAATAGAATAGGAAATAATATAGTCATAAACTTTAATTGCAGCAGAGAACTGTAAGACTTTTCATATTAAAGGTTGACCCTAATTAAAAAGAAGCCCTTCAACCTCTGACGTATGTGAAGAGCAGAATGTTTCTCATTAAGAAGTACCATATATTAAAAGGGAAGAGGAAGTATTGAATCAGAGTCGTCCTTCTCATAACCAACAATAAAGACGAACCGTCAAGGGTGTAAACTAAGCACTTTTAAAAAGATCTCTATAGCTCTTTTTTTTAACTTTTTATAGGCATTCAAAGGTTACATCAGTTTCATCGCAAGCGATGAAAATTTTTTTGTGTCTTTTTAGATTTATTCAGAGATTATTGTAATGTTTTAAAACAAATGATTTATATATATATCATCACAAATAGACAAATTAACAAAAATTAATATTTTAAAATATGACCATCCATATATATAATCCATATATATGAAAAAATATCCATATATATTTATGTGTAATGATGCAAACTAAGCACTTATTTTAAGAATTCATTATAGCTTTTCTTCTTAGCTTTCTTTAGTTAGTCAAAAGTTGCATCAGATTGTTGGTAATCGGAACAGTTTGTATAATTTGCTGTTAATAATATACCAAGACTCATTTGTAATCATGTTAATGTTTGGAATTGGACACGTTGGACTATAGCGAGGGCTGCCACAGTGTCCAAAAATTTGTATTACATAAATCTAGTGGTGAACTTCAGCTCACTATTATAAACCAATAGTTAGATATCTAATGATAATTTAATATTTCGACTAAACTAAATTTCGGTATTTAAGGCTTACAGAATAACATTTGGTAAAAATGTGAGTTTTTTTTAAAACATTTTACTATCTAAAGCAATATATATTTATATATCTTAATTATAAACAAATTTGAATACTTCTTTTATCATTCACCTATTCAACCAATTATAGACCACATGTTTGCTAAACGTACATCTATCGAATATTGCTAGACGTACATCAGTAATTTATGTCATCATTAATACTGCTTCAATTTTACTTTGGAACTGTTGCTATCACATTTGTGTACAAGGTCTCTAAAGATATGACATGCAATAATAAGTATCCCTTTCATTTCTAGAATTATTCTACAAACCTTCGTGTCTACTCTTAAATGTACTTTGCAACATTGTTATATACTAATTATCTATTTCTGTAAAAATTAAAAGCAAAAAAAATATATAATTGTTACAATTTTGTAAATATAATTACAATATATAGATTATAATTTATATATAATTAACTGCATTTATCTTTCAATCTAAACTACTGGAAATATGTATGCTATAATTAACTTTAGCACAGCATATATATATATATATATATATATATATATATATATATAATATATTATATATATATATATATATATACCCTTCATTAAATATTTCTACACTTCATCGAAAAGTTCTTCAGATTCAATGTTCACTCTCTGTAAATTTTATTATTTACTTGATATTTTTAATAATGTGTTACAAAAACAAAATTGCATTACTCATTATATATTCAGTCAAGTGTATATATAGTACATATACATATATGAACAATGTGTTTTGTAGAATATTGGATTATTCTTGTAAAGTATATCTTTATACGTATAGTATTCAATTTTATGGCTGTAATATTAATAAGTTTTTTGCTTGGGTGTTCTTTGAGCAAATATGGTTTGTTTGGTTTATTTGCAATCACTTTTAATAATTTTAATGATATTCGTGTATATCATTTTTATTGCTATTTACTTTCAAAATGAATATTCAACTAGATGAGGCAAGAATTATTGTACTTACCTACTCGTATAAACAATATAAAAACTTGAAAGCGCTTTCAAATATATGCAATTACTGCATATTAATACTTATGGTATATTAAACTAATATTCTGTAATATTTCATATTTTTCTTTATACGTATCATTCTTTTAGTGATTAAAAATTGCAGTTTTATAAAATAATAATTAACGTTTTGTAATAGTTAAGTTACTCTCTGAATATAAGTAAATGCTAAGTTTCATACTAAGTACTATTGTAAGTATTATATCATTCCAACCTTTGAAACCATATTTGAAAATTTTAAATATAAAATTGTGTAAGTCTATTTGCACAACCAATAAATATGGTAGAACTATTCTGTAATGAAAACAAGGAATATTTGGTAATAAAGCTAATAGCTGTTATGCCATCACTGATATAACAGCTCATTCCTAATATTAATTTGAATTTCTAGTCATGCCAATAAACCACATAATGAATGTCAAGACTAGTTAATATAATTCAATGGTACCTAAACAAAACTCTTCTTTCCACTTCCAGCTTTCACCAGTTATAACCAAAGGTTTATCATCATCATACTAGAAAATTATCAAATCCTACCTTCAAAAAAACTGAAATCATTTTTATTTAATTAGTAGGCTGAAATACACTTTGAGAAAACTACTTTTTCGCATTGAAATTCTTACTAGAGTTCTGAGGCTATAGACTGTTATACCATCTCAACAGAATGAGCCTTTAAGGTAATAGAATTTGGTGATTGTGTAAAAGGGATCGTAAATCGTCTAAGCCTTCTACTATGTTTACCCTAAACGAAATAGTAGCAGGCTTGTCCATCTTGGAGATTGACTTATTGTCCACTACAACATATGAATAAATACGTAACCTTTTATAAGTTGCGTAGATGTTTTTACTATTAGAAATCATTCTGATGAAGGAAAAATCGAATTTGTCAGAATAAGTATATATATATATATACTAAATATATACTAAAATCAACGCTCGAAATAAAAGTGAAAATCCTAAAGAAACAAAACAATTTTACTTTAAATACATAACCGTCAAAGCCGCTTAAGTTCATAAAAACTTATAGATCAGTTAAAATAACTAATAGAACAACTGACCCGCAGAGTATAGTGTTTTCCACTTAATAAAAATACTATTTCCCAATTCTAATAACACCATGAAATAAATTTTAAATCTGCTTCCGATTATGTAGAACTAAATATCAAGTTTTTTAATTATAGAATTTGATTAGTCCTGCTATCAAATTTTTTCTCACACATTAAGGGAAATATGTAGCTCGAAGCGATATTTTTACTAATTAATGTTAATTTTTTCTTGCCAAAATTGACGCGACTTATAACGAAAAGAAAACTATTTAAAAGTTAGAAGGGTTCGAATAGTAATGAAAAGACAACAACAAAAATTTAATTAATTTATTAAAATTTGGCTAATATTTCCATTTATTATGGAAGACTTGTCAGTGTCCTTTCAACTAACTTAATTATTAGCAATCTAACCTTATGGTCTTAATAACGATTTTAAGTTTATGTTCTTTAATGTCGTAATGAAAATTTTTCTGGAACCCCAACCGATCAATATCAATTATTCGTCTTAATAATAATATACTTTTCGATTACCTTTCGATTTTTCAAAAATAAAATGTACTAAAAATTAAGCAAGAAATATTAATCCCGTAATTTTTATATATTAAAAATCTTTTATTTTTTTTTTTTAATTTAAAAAATATTTACACACTTCTTAGATACAAAAATTGGTACGTGAATTAAGTCACTCGACGGTTAAGTAATATGACACTTTGGTTGGTTACCTCAACGCGTGCAACGGCTGCCCACATTGCCCAGCAAGCCAATTGGCCTTCTACTTTAAAAATTGTTGGTTTCGAGTTTAAAAACAGTTTATTGACATTATACTTGCAACTATTTATGAAAATTGTTTATTTGATTAAATCCAAAAAAAAACAAAATCAGATAAAATATCCTTGACTTTTTTACAATGTTACGTGTGTACGCATGAAGGAAAGCATTTTTGAGTCATGAGAAAATAAAAAATAAATATAAATTTATATTTTAATATGCAATGCATTTTATTAATTTTTTTTTCTTTTTTTTTTTTTGTCTTACAGTTGGTACTTCCGTAAAATAAAACGTATCGAGGCTGAGAAGAAGTTATTACTGCCAGAAAATGAGCATGGAGCATTTTTAATAAGAGACTCAGAGAGCCGTCATAATGATTATTCATTATCGGGTAAATATTTAAATTATTTTTATATACGATAAGCCAGAAATATCTTTTAAAAAAACTGTATACTGAAACTGTTACTTAAGATCTGTGAATAGCTAAAAAGTATTTTAGTTTGCTTATATGTTTGTTGTCGCTCAAAGTCAGGCTCTTCGAAGGCTCTTCAAAGTGCCTTGGTATATCCGCACAAACGACATGCTAATAGACCTTAGAATAGACCCGATCAAAAAATACGTAAGGGACAGAGCCCTGAAGTTATATGCGAAAATTGACATAGTGGTAATATCCTACTTACCACTATCTAATCTTAGAGTAATCACTCTCCGCACGGGGAGGTACGCAGATCTTAGATCAATCACTGCATAATCATGAAGATTATAGGCAATACATAAATTAGTCAATGAGATGGGTGGGACCCTGTAGTACCCCCAGCTATCAAAGAGTAAAAGTGCCCAGTTGCGCTGACTCGAAAAAAGGATCCACTTATACATATATATGTTTGTTGTCTAGGACGACATTGTTTTCATCATGGATTTATTATAAATTAATATGATAACACATATTTTAATCAAAATTTATATGTCCTATGAAAAGGAATTTTATCTGGTTAGCAAAAGAAAAAATTTGCATAAATATTATGTATAAACAATAATGTTTAAATTTGAAAATAGTAACAATGAATAGTTAGATGGTTTTAAATATGTAGCTGTAGTTTATGCGTTTGTTTTTATTATAGAACTCACAGCAAGTACATACGAGCAAGTGTGATATTGACTCACTTGGTATTCAAAAATTATATGCAGAAAATTAAATTAATAATTAAATCATAATACTAAGGTTTTTGGATATTTAGTAATAATTTAAGAAACTGTAAAGTGATTTAGTTTATTTAGTTTAAAGAAACTTATTTTAAAAACAATATATTTTAATGTTAAACGGATGCGAAGAGAAATGAAGAGGTAACAACAAAAATTTTAACTAATTTATTGAAGTTTGGCTGACCATACAACGCTGTTTCGAGTATTGCTAAGAACTGATCATCAATTCTCTTATATAAGACGACTTGGTTAACTCTTTCATTTCTTTTCGAATCCTGCTAACTTTCAAATAATTTGTTTTTGTTATAGAATAAAGCCCAGTTTTGGGATCTCACCAATCCTCTCAATAAAATATTTTAAAAGAGAATATTAACCCATATCCGCCCAACGTTCGATTAATCGAACAGCAAATTTTACCACTTTTCATGGATGTTTTTATTTATATAAGAAAAACTTTAAAGTTTATATATGTCAGCACTTTGTAAAGCTTTAGCTTTACAAAAATAATTGTGACTTCATTCCACACTCCCCACCCCCTTACTAATTAAGCTTTGAAAAAAACATTTTGACCAAAAATTCCAAAAAAAAAATTCTTGGGCGGATATGGGTTAAGCCTAATGAAACTTATTACTCAAAGAAGGAATTTACCGATTTTAATATATTTTTCTATTCTAACCGATTTCAGTGCGTGACGGTGACACAGTTAAACACTATCGCATAAGACAATTGGATGAGGGTGGATTCTTCATAGCCAGACGCACAACATTCAGGTATATATATCAATTTTATTTTTAAATAAAATAAAAATAATAATATACCTAACATATATATATATTCCAAAACATAGAACACTCCAAGAACTTGTCGAACATTATTCCAAGGATTCCGATGGATTGTGTGTTAACTTATGCAAACCATGCGTACAGGTAAGCTTTTATTTTATATATATATATACAAATTAACAAACATTTTGCGTACCATTTCATATATAATACATATAAATTTATTATATTTACTTTTTATAATTTTAACATTAAACTCGATACCATAACTCATTTCTCATTATTTAATAAAAAAATTTAACATATTAACATAATTTTAATTTTTAATGCTTTATATAATATTATTCTACATCTTCATTACTATTCTCATTAAAAAATCGTATTCGTATTTTTGTATTTTTAAAACTAATATATGTATTCTCATATATGACATTAAAAGAGTCTTATTATAATAAATATTTTTTGAATTATTGTTATTTTTATTAAAAAAAAAAATAATTTTTAACTAAAATTTTATACTTGAAACTTTATTTTTTGAAACATTTTAACAAAGTCAAACCAATTTGCCGGTATTTTTGAGGTAGGAATACAATGTTTGTTTGTTACAACTTTGATCGCCAATGAAATATATATATATATTACTTATATATATATATAAATAAATATAAATATCAATTCACCAAATACACCTCTTGCGATCCAACCATTCAGTAATGCAAAATTTCTTATATGTTATCAATCAAAAACTACACCTGCGTGTATCCAAAATTTTCCATATATACGTCCATAGCTGTTGTCTTTCTTTTAATGTATGCAAAACACTATGCTTTTAATTTAAATTTATATACATATATATGTTTATGTGTATTTTGTATAGTTTTTCACTATATGCTAATTTTTTTATTATATTTTTTTATATTTATGTATATATAATTAGTTGTAAGAAAAATCTATCTGCTATCAAAAGATGTAAGCTAGTATATTTTATAGTAGTGTACAAATTAAATAGTCTTCCATTGAAACTATTATTATAGGTTTATATTTTTTAAATATCTCTTTTATTAAAAAAAAAAACAAATTATATTTAAAAAAAAAATTCAAAAAATCCAACATACTTAAATAAACAAACTTAATCAATGAGTGAAAGCAACTGAAACTGTATTAGATGAATAAGTTTTGAAATTAAGATGATACTTATAGGTACCAAAGATTTTAGAACAAGCCACTTCACAAATCTGCTCCTCAATCCCCACCATAAACTTTCCCCTAATATGGTCATTGTTGTTGTCGTAACCCGCTGGGATCTGCTTACAGATTTCCTTTGGGGGTAGTGAACGGCACTTTGTCGCCATAATTGACGAGTGGCTCCGGGATGTAGTCCCGGCCATTTTTAGTCGTCCAATAGGATCACTTGTAACTGACGAGTTTTTTTGACAGCCCACAAAGATAACATTACACCTTTTTAACTGATTGATCCTCTGGATATCTTAAAAGTCTTCCAATCCATTACCTTAAGAAGACTTAAAAGAGTATTAATCTGCTTAACAGCTCCAAGCAAAAACAGTTTATATTATTGAATTGATCTTTGTGTAGAAAGTTTAATTCTAAATATAAATATTTTTACAAAATTATTTAAATCTTTACTGGGTTACTTTTATTCTATGTGAGGTTATCTAATATTAGTAATCCATTCGATAAAAGGAAAGTACTACTTATACATTATCTAAAATTGTTAGTTTAAGAAATAAAACAATAATAAGAGAGCAACTATTAACAGAAATTTTTTTAGTAAAGTAAATGTGATGCGAAAAAAAGCGGTGATATTATTTTTTTCATATTTGACAAGTTAAAAAATGGAGGAGAATGGAAGAACCTGAGAAGAACTCAGTGTGTTAAGTGATTAAGTATAATAATATTTTAAACTTTTAAATTAAGGACTTAAATAATATATGTACTAAAAAATCTTAATCTCATGTGATATTTATTTAATAAAATTAAATAAAATAAAAAAATAAGTATATATTATATATCTTAAACTTAAATATTATTATTATTAAATTTAAATATTATTGATTTAAAAGCAATTAGTAATTATTTATTTAATCTTAAATAATTTAAAATGTGTTTATGAAATTTTCTGTAATTATTGACAAGCAAACAACAATAAAAAGTTTATATTTACATTTTTAAATATTTTTGTTTTTCATTTTTTGTACAGACTTTAAACATATACTTTTGTATTTTATTAAATAAAAAAGATTTTAAGTATATATTTATTATTATTTACTTCAAATCAATCTAAAATTACAGGCGGGTTTTGATAAACAAAAATATGATTTTTTACTGCGTTTTTGAAATATATCTTTATTAAATATATATTTAATTTTTAATAAACAAAAAAATTACAAAATAAATAAAATATTTTTAATTAAAATAATCTTTTTTTTTTGTATAAGACTATTAACACTGGAAAAGTCAATAATTCTTATTTATTAAAAAAAAAAAATAAATGTTAAAAAATTATTAACTATTTATTTTTATCTTCGATAAAAACTTAATATATTTACTTATTTTTTAACTTTTAACTAAATTAAGCTGCTATTTTAGTAGTTTTAAAAAGCTTAAACAAAAACTTGGAAAAAAAATACCAAAGCTACTCAGACTTTGATAGTTTAGCGTTTAATATACCTACTTAATGCTAAAAAAAATTAAAAACTAATCTATGTTAATCTAAATGTAAATAGTGCCTTATTATGCTATAATCATTAAAGATACTATTGGCAATCCATTAACACTAAAAATCAGAAACCTCTGATTCCATTAAAAGCACTTTTAAACACTAACACAACCATACCTACATATATATATATATACACTCACACACACACACACCTGAACATATAACATAGTTCTTTACATTTATTGTGTGACTTTTAATATATTTAAATTTTTACACATTATCATATATATAATATAATCATCATATATTTGTACAAATATAGATTGAAAAACCTGTAACCGAAGGCTTATCACATCGAACACGTGATCAGTGGGAAATTGATCGTACCTCACTGAAATTCGTACGTAAATTGGGCTCTGGTCAATTCGGTGAAGTGTGGGAAGGTTTGTGGAATAATACCACACCAGTAGCTATTAAGACACTTAAATCAGGTAAATTTTTATATATATTCAAATATTTTTAAATTAATATCATTTTTCAAGTTAATAAAATTAATAATTTAATGTTGTAATTAATTATTAACTCTACTTTCTTTTTTTATTATCTTTCATTTTAGGCACAATGGATCCAAAAGACTTTTTAGCTGAAGCTCAAATCATGAAAAAGCTCCGCCATAATAAATTAATACAGTTATATGCTGTTTGCACCGTTGAGGAGCCCATCTACATTATCACCGAATTAATGAAGCATGGTTCTCTATTGGAATATCTACAAGGTATGTGGAATATATTTCAATATATTCTCTATAATATCAATCTATCAACTCATCAATAAAAATATATATACAAATATATAATACATGCAAAACTTTTGGGTTTATGTGTCATTATTCAGTTTAAAAAAATTTTATAGTAATTGCAGGTAAAGGACGTAGTCTTAAGATGTCGACACTCATAGATATGTCAGCACAAATCGCTGCTGGTATGGCATATTTGGAATCACAGAACTATATTCATAGAGATCTGGCAGCACGTAATGTACTGGTTGGCGATAATAATATTGTTAAAATAGCTGATTTCGGGTTGGCGCGGTGAGTTGGTATTACCACAGAAAAAAAAATCCACAACTTATAGTGGAGTTGTTAAACAAATTAATTTCATGCATCATAAGTGAAAATTATATCTAAAAGTACAGATTTTATAAAAGATCTTATATATTTGCAGTATACTTTTTCAAAAAGTTTTTAGTGAATAATACAGGAATTATATATTTTGTGATTTATTCTTAAATCAATTTTGCTCAGTGATTTGCGTTTAATCATTTCTCTTAATATATACTGTTATATTATAAATTAATTTTTTTAATACCATAGATCGTATATTATATACTTTCAGAGAAGGTATCAAGATTAAAAGAATATATCGCATTTTTTTAAATAAACAATTCATCTGGAAATCTTACCAAAATGCTCCAAGGTTTATTATACAAATCAGTCAAGTTGACCAACACTTTTACACTCTGTGGATTCATTATAATATTACTACTTAACACAGGATCTGAACCAAAAAACTCTTTTTTGTTGATGTAGTCATTTTTGGGATATACTAACTTGAGTCCAATAGATCTTTGGAGACGTCCCATTGATTGACTACGTTTATCCAATTTAACCCAGATTGGTTTCAATAAAAACCTCAATCCATTATTGTTCCTACACAATCTCCTCCCCTCTCATGCTATTATTACCTACCCGTATCCTAACATATGTTTATGTATTTCTTACGAACACTTTCGTAAAATTGCTCAAATCATAAATTCAAAAGAATTGTTCTATGGGGTCTTCTTCGTCTGCAGTTGACATGAAAAAATACTGCTAGCCTACAACGTGCCTTCCCAGTATCCCATGACCAATTATACTAACCAGAATATTGGAGATATTCACTCTGGAGAGTCTGAACACATCCATTGTTTGTTTTTTATAAAGTACCGCCATCTTTAGCCATTACCAATACAAATAAATGCATTAGTTTACTAAGAATCTATTGTATTTCTCAAATAACCTTTTTTATCAATAATAATTTAAAGATAACGATAGCTGTTCCAATATAATTACTGACTGCTCCCAGTCGAAGATTAATATCTCTAATTCGTCAGCCTTGAATTTATCTTTATTTATCCATTATTACGTATAGAATCTTGTATACATTATCCACACACACACACATATTCAAAAGTGTGTAAAATATCAGAAAACAGTATGTTAAATTACTATATTGGATACAAGATCCAAGAACGATCAAATTTTGACAAAAAATTTCCACTACAATCTAAGTTAACTTGTGTTTGAAAGACAGTTATATTCATACTCCTATCGGAACATCTACATGATTTACAAAAAGAAAAATAAAATAATTTTATAAAAATAATTTTTTTAATTTATTTTATAAAGGCTTATTAAAGAAGACGAGTATGAAGCACGAGTCGGTGCACGTTTCCCCATTAAATGGACAGCACCTGAGGCTGCTAACTACAGTAAATTCTCCATAAAATCTGACGTTTGGAGTTTCGGTATTCTTTTAACTGAATTAGTAACATACGGTCGAATTCCATATCCAGGTTAGTAAAAATCATATTCACATTTTGATCATTTTCATGTTTTATTAGTAAAAATTATTATATTAATTTAAAATATTAAATTTTTTTTATAGGAATGACAAATGCTGAAGTATTAACACAAGTTGAACATGGATATCGTATGCCCCAGCCACCGAATTGTGAACCACGCCTCTATGAGATTATGTTAGAATGCTGGCACAAAGATCCTATGCGACGACCAACATTCGAAACACTACAATGGAAATTAGAAGATTTCTATACATCAGACCAGAGTGATTATAAAGAAGCGCAAGCCTACTGATAAATGCTTTATGCTTCCAGCAACGCGTCAAGCAATAGCATCAGCAGCAATTGCCACAACAACGGCAACAGCGGCAGCACCTGCAACAACAATAAAAAACGTCAACGACAATTGCATAAACAAAAGCATGTAGTAGAAGCAATTAAAAATCAATCGGACAAATAAAAAAATTCATATAACAATTTCCATACATTGATATATACATATATAACAATAAAGTGCCGGTCACATTTCTATGTTATCGGTATGTTAAACAAATAAGCATACACAAATACAAAAATGTATACATAAATAAAATTAAAAATTATTTGATTAATTTAATAGTATAAACTTTGTATTATTGCATTAAGTAATGCAATTAATTATTATGCAATTATTTTAATTTCTTTTGTTTTTTTTTTTTTAATGAAACAATAATTTTTTTTTATTAATATTAAATTTTTTCTACAACAAATTTAAATGTATTATTATATTAATATTATTTATATATAGTTACATATAAAGTCAGAATTTATTTATACAAACATCTACATATATATAAATATATGTATATATAAATACATACCGTATCTATTTATATATATATATTTCTGTATACATAAGCGTATATTCATTGCATCAGTTGGTGAAAACCTTTTTTATATTTATATATATACAATTGAACTAAAAATATAAACACAAAATTATGTTCATTCTTTTATTATTTGTATTTTTAACTGCATTTTTTTACTTACTATACATATATGTAATGTTTGTTGTAATATTTTTGTACGTCTACCTTTTGCATTATTTACACAAATCAAGAAAAAAAAATTTATTTACAAAAAATAATACATATTTATTATTATCACACAATATACAACAAAATCAAATCAAAAGAATAATGCGTACTACTTTATTTAAATGTTAATAATTATAATTATTTTTATTATTACTATTATTACTTAATTTAATTAATTCTAGAACAAACAAAATATATTATAATTATGAAATAAATAAAAATAAATTGACAAAAATCAAAAAATAATAAATTTATATGATTTAAGTGCAGAAATTGGATATGAAAAATTTTTTACTAAATAAGTTGACAACGCGTTGCTGAGAAGCATAAAAAAAAAAATATTTTTATAGTAAATATTATAAGTGCTCTATAGTATATAAAATTTTAAATTGAAAATTGCTTATTTTTTAATTTAAAACAAAAACAATTTATGGCACGATTTTATTTTCTTGGACACGCTTATTTAATAGCAATGAAATATAGTAGAGTCAGCTATTTTGAACATCTTATTACACTCTGCTATATGCGAATGTCTTGAGGTATCATGACTTAAAGTTATAAAATTTTAAAATTAATTATACCAATTGCCAACTAGTATGTGCGCATTTTGCTTTGATTACACAAAGAAAAACATTAGGGATAGAGCTATCAAACAGTTCGATATTGTGAACACTCTCCAGAATGGAGTGTTAAACTCTTAAAGACTACCAATCCCTTTGTCACCAATGGCAGTTATGCAGGACACACAAAGAAAGGAGTTAATGGTAAAGCTGTTCAATATTGTGAACACATGGATATCGAGGCACTTGCAGAGTTGAGCTCTTCAATTTGGAAAAGCTTCAAAGCGTGATATCATAAAAAAGCAATATACTGTAATGAATGTAATCACAATTACATCTATACTTACTAGTGAAATCATGATGATAATATATATTTTCTTCTTTTAAATGGAGTATGGAGTATACTAGTGAATTACTGTACCATGAAAATACAAGACAAACAACGGGTACGAAGTATACCCTCCATTTCTTGTGACAGTTTTTAAATTCAAAGTTTGTTATCTTGACAACTAATATTTGTTGATATAAAACATAGTCACAAAAGGTGATTAAAATAGCTGTCTTTATTAAAAGTCATTATCTGGGCATGCCTGAGAAATCGTAATCATGCTCAACTTATATAGAATTTTAGAAGAGCTCTTATAAGATATTAAGGAAAATTGTAAGTTTACAAAAATAATAATTTAGGCAAGTGTTTACATCAATATTTTTTGATTACTTTTTTTTCTGTTTTTAATGTATTTTATTTTTTTTTTTCGTCTTAAATTTTTTTTTATTTTATTTTATTTTTATTTTATTTTATTTTTATTTTATTTTATTTTTTTTTTATTTTATTTTTTTTTTATTTTATTTTAATTTTATATTTTATTGTAATTTGTTTTTTTTTTTATTTTAACTTTTTTTTATTTTAATTTTTTTTTATTTTATTTTATTTTTTTTTATTTATTTTTTCGTAGGTTTTGTCACATTGAATATTGGTTATATAAAGTAAATATACTGCAACGTGAGTATATAAATGGTTTTTTAATGTGATTTGACATTTTTTTAACAAAATATTTGTTTTTTCTTAAATATTACAAACAAATTACGAAGAATTTTATAAGAGACCAGCTTACTGTATAAAATTTTTATATAATTTTTGGGAAAGCTTGTATTTCGTACTATATAGATCTCTAACGAGTACAACTAGAGATATTTTCTGAATAACAACATTAATAGCAAATTTTTTATAAAAATACAAATTCAAAGTTATAGTTTAAAAAAAATAAATTCATAAAATTACAACAATTTTACATATAACCTTATATGCGATATTTAAAACTGCAGTTAGCATTTATATGTAGCTATGGTTTATTCGTTTTTTATAACATTAGCACAGTAAATGCATTGCTATTCTTGTTCATTTAAAAGTAAAAAAAAAAAAATTTGAAGCTTGAGTAACGCAATTTAGTTTAACATTTGTCTTGTAGGATTAACGTGGGGTCAGTCTTTGAATATGAACTACCGAACAATCCAATAATTTCAAAAACTACTGAACATTTGACAATATTTAAAGTCAGAATTTGATATATATAAAAATAAAACTTTTATACTTATGTATACTCAACAATAGCTGGGATCACTTAGGTGTTTCATTATAATATGTATATTATATCAATATGTTAATATTATATCAAATAGAATATTAAATTATTGAGATTAATTTAATGTCTGACATATCTTTTTCCTTCATTTAATAATAGTTTCTTTGACTTCAAATCAATTTATTTTATTTACTTTACTTAAAAACTTTGAAAAACTTCTATTGCTACTTACATTGAATCTAAAGACGCTAGACCATAAAGACCTTCGGCAGCATAAATTTCGAAATTCAAAAATAATATATATTTACATTCGAACTTAAAAATTTTTTCAAAACCTAGCCTGTGTAGATCTCGGCATAATAGCTTATTTAAGAAAAGGAGTTGAAAAATAAATAGCAATAACAGTATTTATTATTTTAATGTTATTCTATTTTGTATTTTTCCTTTGTCATTTGTGTTGAATTGTTGCTATTTTACTCTATTATAAAAATATTATGTCAGTACTTTTAGGTTGACTATAGACCATAGTCGAATATGTTTGAAAAAAAAATATAATTTTTAAAAATAAATTAAAATGTTTTATATTATTTAAATAATTGATCAATTAACCCGTTTAAAAAATAAAAATAATTAATAAAATTTTGTCATTAAAACAATAAATTATAAATCTTTTAATAGCAATTATTATTTATAATAATTTAAATTGATTTTATAATTAATTATATCATATTATTTAAATTAAATGAAAATGTTTTATTTTTATTAATAGTTTTGTAAGTTTAAATAAATATTTTTTTTTATGAACATAAGTAATAATATATATTTAATTATATTTTACAATTACTTTTAGATAATTTTAAGTATTTAATATAAATATATTTATTTTATTTATAATTTATTTATTCTATATTATTTGTTTGTTTTTTTTTAAGTTAATACTCATAAATTTTATGTGATTATTTTTAATTGTTTTATTTTTACATCAGAAATATTATTTTACTTTTCAGTTATGTTAGCTTATCAATGTAATTAGTATACTAATTTACTTTTTAATAATAATGTTTTATTATTTTAAGTTATTTTATAAAATATTTTTATTTTAAATTTTATATATTTATTTTTATATTTTATATATTTATTTTAAATATTTTTTTTTAAATATTTTTATTTTAAATATTTTTATTAAATATTTTTATTTTAAATATTTTTTTTTTAATATTTTTATTTTAAATATTTTTATAAAATATTTTTATTTTAAATATTTTTAAAATATTTTTGCTTCAAATAATTCCGCTCAATTTTTTCCATATTATTTGTATTATTTTCATAACATTTTTTACATTTTGTTTATAATTA